GAAATCTCGAGAATCCTTTCAAAATATTCCGGACAGCTTGAGATTAATTCGGTCAATGGGCGAATCAACCTGTAGAGGAGCACATTACGACCCTGCCGTCACGCAAAAGGCACACTGTTTGCCCGCTCAGTATCGGAAGGTCGAACTCACGCATCACCTAGATGTGAACGATCGAGTTAGGCTCGTCTTCCTCCGAGGATTACGGGACAGATACTTATAATCCGTGTCGGGAATCGGAAATTGTCATCGACGTCAGTTGTCAAAGTTCACGTTCTTTCTCGCGTCCTCTGAGGATCGTTGAACTGCAACGCTGCCGGAGCTACTGTTGTTGGTTGTGTAACAGTGTGGTGAAGTTGAAACAAAGCCTCCTCTCTAAACAAAGAGCCGACGGATTTGCAGCGGATCGCCAACGCCCGTGGAGCACACATCCCCATGCGACCGCGCCGCCGTCCTCTAGCAGAGCGATGCGATTAATTCTGTGCGCATGAATCGAGCGGTCAGATCGTTACCACGTGCGAGCTAGGTCGAAGCTCCTCTGACGTTTTCGAAAGAAAGCCATTGAAGAGCATTGTCGTGACTCGATGAGTCGCGGAGATTCCGCCCTCTAAAGGAAGTTCGACCTCAAAGCTCGCGCTCGAACCCACGAAGGAGAGTCGCGCCCGAGTCTCGAGCGACCGACGGAGCAGGAAACCTCGAAGTCCTTTCCCACCTCGGTTTCGTGTTCATCCACGTGCGGTCGGCTACTCTCGTCTGGTCAACGGAATGACGTCAATCCAAACGGAATTTCGTGCCTTCGTCGAGGATTGACTTCAGAATCGTCTTACGTACCTGAATTCTCCGTCCAGATTCCTCTCAGGTTAAGGTCATTAGATCTAGTTCATTCAAGGCCCGATAATCATAGGAATGGATTTTCCGGAGAACCAAGTGAGATGATGGGAACCAGAATGCCGCCCTCACAAATTCGAGAGCATCGCTCTGGAAATGAGCCTTGCGTCTGAGCCTCTCTCCGTGCACGGGATCCACGGGCTCACGGTCCACCCTGTCGGTCGCCGTGCAGTCTGCCGTGGATTTCGGGTTTACGCGAGGGCTTCACTCCGCGGCGAGACGTCTCCGGGGAGATAACCGATCCAGGAGGAACAAACATCAACAAAAAATGCCTACCACGGCCGCACGTGTCTAGAAAACGTCATGGACCGGGAGCTGAGCAGCCCAGATATTCCCGACTTAAGAAGAACACCTGTCGGAGGCGTACCGCATCGAAGTCCGCAGAAGTTACCTGCCGACGCGTGCCTGAACAGATTCTGTTCATAAACAATAAGAAATGATGATTATCGTTACCCTGAGCGTTCTGAGAGTTCCCGTAAGCCAAGGCTGGGTGACCGCGTATTTCCTTTGCTGTCGCCATCGTCTGTCGGGAAACTGTCGAAGGTGATCAGTGATCATGGATTATAGGGGGTGATGAAGCGCCCGTCCGTGTCGCTGCTGCCATCATTGACATTTAGAGTTGTTGCTAGTAACGATTTCAACGCCCAGAGCAACGCGTACGCCGCTAGAATCGACTTCATTGTTTTCCTCTCCCTGTCGCCGTAAGTCGACGTCGTCGGATCCGACAGCATCTGTGTCATTGAAGTTGCAGGTACCTCATATCGATTCCGTTTGGACGACAGCGACGACGATCATACTCATGTCATACGTTGGTCATTCGAGAACCGTTGCCTGAAACGGCCGCTTATGAGATATCGAATCCGTATGCGAGAGACAAGAATCTCGAGAAAGCTGCGACCAGTGCGCCGGTCATCTGGACGAGCTCCTGTTCCATCGAATCTCTTCAGCGAGTATTTACTTAGTGTTGCTATCCTGAGATGATATTTCCGTGCGTTAAACCGTCGCCGACCTGGAATCTCAGTTATGTCAGCTGATGGCGATCCGACGTCTCTCAGGCCGTCTTCTTGCCGAGACAAAATCTCGGCGCTCTGTCTGTTCGTCGACTGCGGCGCCGTTCGCCTCTTCGGAGGTTCCGGAGTGGCGGGAGCCCGCTCCCCTCACGACATTGATCCCGATAGCGCAGCTGACGATACCGGAGCCGAGAGCATGACGCGCTCGTATCGACGAGACGTCGGCTTTCCTCGATCAGTGTCGTCAGCGATTACTGCGGTGGCCTTGAGCTCGCCATACTGAGCTTGGCCGTCCAATCTAAGTGTTTGGAGAGGCGGCACATGGCCACCTTCTGAATGAACGGATGGCCTTGCAGGATGTGCTCGTGGCTTTGCTCCCTTTTGGTGAGGCAGCCCTCGATGCCGACTCGCAGTTACAGTCGGCTCATGGAGGGAATGTGGCCGGCCGGCCGGCCTGCCGATCGACCGATCGACCGGCCTGGCTGCTCAAATCTAGGACATAACAGCCGCCGCTACTGCTCTCGTAGCGGAGGGTAGCAAGTGCCACGTGCGTCGGAGAGGGCCCTACGTCGCTCGGTAGAGAGTGGCTTGCGGCGCTCTCAACGGGTACTCTCTTACGGAGGCTCGCAAGCTGTCGTCTTGCCTCACTCAGTCGTACTCTAAACAAGCGAGAGTTCGGAGCGCGCGCTTCTGTTCCGCCGGAGGCGTGCCATGAGTGCAGCCGCTTCATCTCATTCTCATAAGTTGGTTCCAGGGGAGCATTTGTGTTCGCTTCCGTCGCCATCAGAGCTGCTGTTGTCGTGATTTATCGGGCGAAGCGATTATTCGAGTGACAATATTTGTGAGCTTCTTGTGATGTGTTCGTCAGAGCTGGACAAATCCTTGTCGAGACTGTCGTAGAATTATCCGATCGCCGATTTTCGAAGATCACCGAGTCGTTCCGACTCGTGTAGGCAGCTCTCCGCTGGCAGTTTCCTGCCAACATCAAGTAAGTTCTTCGGAATCAGGAAGTTCGAGTTTCCCTTTTTTCGGGAAACGGCTCACGGCTGCCTTCCATTGGTTTCGTGAAAGCACCGCCTGTCGGGAAGCTCAGGAGATCTCTCCGGGCTCTCTCAGAGCGAACTCGTGCTCCTGAGCTGACTTCCTGGTGCACCCTTCGCTCTCTTTTCTGGCCACCGAACCCGGCCCCGGCGTCCCGATGTGCCTGTCGGGGTGTTGCAATGGTGCGCCCCCTCCCCCATCGTACTCTCCTCGAACCCCTGCCGAGCGGAATTGAGGAAGGGACGGCGCTTGCGAAACTCTTGCGAGGGTCGACTCGAATACTTAGTATTAGTTTGTACCCAAGAGCAGAGGAGGAGAGTCGGTAGAATCCTCTGGCCAGAATAGGCGGGCCAGACGGGGCAGCTTGGGACCTCTGGCTTTGAGAGGCTGCGCCCCGCAGACATGTCTGACGGAGTTCGACAATTCACTTCACCATCTTCTCCGGATAGTTGAGAGGAATCAGCGATTGGTCGGTGAGTTCTGAGACACTTCTTCATTTGAACTTCATCCGAGCAGTCCCAGAATGTACCTTCGATAGGCCAGCCCAGATCGATTCCTTCCCGTATCGAGTTATCAGATCCAACTCAAATCATGGTGTAGTAATAATGGAGAATCATCATCGTCATCAGCACGATCAAGTATGATGATGATGAGCCCAAGATTCCCCCACCATGAAAACCCCCCGTCATGGAGAGAATGAAAAGCGCCATCGATGTCAGATGACTGGGAGAAAATGATGTGTGGGTGAAGGATCGGAAGAGGGATCACGCGACGGTATGAACAAATCATTTGGCAAGATACGAGCGCGCGACTGCGAGGAATTCCTGTTGTGAGTTGTTATGTATCGGCCGATTCGTACCTTCGATCTGGGCAGCTCGTCTGAAATTACTGCTGATCCAATTTGACGTCAGGGTTATTTCCGGAGCAGATGAACTTCCAGTGGAAGAGGATAGCGTCCGACGTTCGCTGTCTGGAGTAGTTACGTGGAGATATCCAGCGCGGAGCCATGTTTCGAATGAAGAGACAAAGAGTTTTTAGCAGATTGCACGAGCTGTTAGCCGCTCAGAGCGACCCCTAATCTGCTTATCGCTTGCAAGGCCCCAGTCGGGCAGAGCTGGTCCGTTTAGTCGAGGAGCCGGCTCGTAGGTAGCCGGCCGGCGATGCCCGCGTTCTCCGCGACCGACCGAGGTCGCTTGACCGGCCCGACTGGCTTGTAGGTGGGTTAGTTAAACGCTATCGCAACTACTTGCTATCTCTAGTATATGGTCGGATGTTGCCCAGCCATAGTCGTGGTGATGCTATCTGGACATACATCGCTTCAGAGTCCAGAGGGGAGCTGCCTATCTGTCACGGCGACTTTCGATGGAACCCGCCACCTTCACCGCGCCGTGGTTGTTGCTGCTGCCGCTGCTACTTGTACGGATTTCGTCGACTACTTTGCTACTACCGCAACTATCGCCGCCGCTGTCGGCGATCTCAGCTCCCTTGCCTCTGACAGAATGCCTATGCGAGGGCCGCAGCTTAGCTCCCGAACGAACTCGCAGAACTTGTCACCCCCGACATGGATCCGGGGTACGTGGTCAGGGGTATGCAGTTGGTGCTCGTGGGAGGTCCTCTGCTACAATCTGGGAGGATCTTCCGCACTCGCATCACCCCACCCGAAAGACCCTCCTCTAGTCTGGACACCCTCCTCCTTCTTCTTTCTCATCGTCGTCGTCGACGTCGTTTTTGTTGTCGTCGTCGTTTTTGTTGTCGTCGTCGTCGATCTCCTGTTTCTGGCCGCCCCAGGGCCGGGAGTGCGCTTGGGTGCAACGGTAGGGGGTTCGTTGGAGAACTGTTGCGTAACTCGGCACCCTCCTCCAGTCTGGTCCCTCTCCACTAAGTTTATCCGCTCGTTCTGAGGGGTTTCGGGCACTCAGCCCTTATCATCCGTCTGGGTAACACACAGTTATTCATACATCGATGAATTTCCGCCGTTCGACCATTAGGCATCGACATCTCTGGCGCTGATCGACCTTGTGAACAGCTGAAGCATTCGGAGCTCCGCAAGCCTGAAATTTACAGTTCTCCTACATCTCGCTCATCTCAATCGTTCACGATATCGATGCGAACCCGGCGAAGGTAGATCATGAAAGCTCGTGCTTGTATCCCAGCGGGATCGTGGAAGGGTTGAGGCAAGACCTCATGGAAGAATACTTTCCTCGCGAATTAGCTCCATCTTCCCGGCGCGTTCTCAAACTAGCCTCTTCTTGATTCCAGGTGACGCGGCCCGTCCGTTGGAATTGCGACTACGACACGGCATGCTGTAGCTACGGCATCGCCAACGCTGAGCCCGAGTTCTGTTATCGTGAGATGCTCAGAAGTCAAATCGTATCTTCACCGCCTTCAATGGGAGCCTGTGAGGAGTCGATGGACTCTAACAACAACCTGCACAACGCAGCGAGCAGCGGAGCCATGCAACCATCCCCTGGCATAGCTCAATCCTCAGTCAACATCGACACGTATCCGTGCTTCAAAGAGGTGTTCCTTGGCCAGAAAGAATTCGAAACGTTCGACGAGTTCAGCCAGCTTTTCTCACGTTTCGAGAAACGTTCGCGTTTTCTGTTCCGCGTCAAGAACTCATCCAGCGTGGAGGCTGAAAACCGCCGGCGGAAGGATCAGATTGATTCGGCCATCAAATACTCCGGGCTCGTCCTTTGCTGTGTCAACTCTGAACTTGGGCATGGCAAGCCGAGGTGAGTTGTCCGAGTTCTTTCGATTCTTGTTTAGGTTCGCGAGCTGGGAATCGTCCCCAGATGAGCACAGCTGCGTACGTGAGATCATGCCAGTTTTCCAGAGGGGGCAGAATTCTTATAAAGCGGAGATAGCTGTCTTCGCGAAACGAAAGTCACACCGAAGTCTACCCGCGACGTTTGAAGGTCTGGAAAAAGCAGAATCTGGGTTCAACAGTCGTCGACGGTCGCAGTAATGGTGTTCGCCATCCATTCATGAATCGTTTCGACGAAGGTTTCTTGCACCATGAAGTGGGGGAAGACGATCAACGTGAAAGCAATCCCTGCAAAAAAAAACAACGGAGTCGAACAAGAAACCATGAAGCTTTGGGCATTTTTGCCGTGGGCTGGCAGGCAGGCAGGCAGGCCGACCGGCTCGCCCTGCCCGCCCGCCTGATTGCCGGGTCTTAAGCACGAAAGTATTCCGCGTTCACGAATCTCGGAGACTTGTCGAGAAATTCGCACTGCAATCCGAATGGAACCGAGGTCGATCGCAGTTGAAAGTCCTTTACTGCTTCACGGTTGAACATCCGCCCGTGGATAGTTAATCAGAGCTTTAATCATCGGTTTCGTCGCTCTTTTTACGGGGGCGAACGGGATCGATGCAGTCTTGGGCTTTGAGGGGGGGGAGGAGCAGTTCGATCCCATTCGTTCGGTGCGATGATCGTTTGTCCTCCCATGAGAATCTCGGACCTTCTACGAGCACTTGCTGCGTATACGTGATCGACGCCGAGCAGCGGTCGGCTAGTGGAGCTTAAACGCTAAGCTCCGCCTCACTTGCCTCAATGTAATGAACGGTGGTGATATTTACCACGAACGCCTAAATCGCTCAAGCTCCGACCTGGCGAAGAGAGACAGATTCGTAATTGTCTAGCGACCTACGGGCGAAGCGGCGGGCTGAGGAACGATCAGTAACTCCTACGACGGTGGGTCGACGTTTCGGCAAATGAGATGCGAAGCCACTGGCGAGAGTTCTCCCGGTGCCGGAGCATCCCAGTGTCGGAGCCGAAATCTGCAGTGTTGTGGTGCCATTATGCACTGAAGCCTCCTTTCCATCAAGCGAAGAACGACCGCCTCGTGGAGCTATAGCCCAGCTCGACGTTAAAAACGTGGGCGGGGTTTCCGACATGGGGGTGTGGGCCAAGGCTGTCGCTCGGTCCCTCCGAGCCCCCACCTACCAGAGAGGGGTCTGTCTCGGAAGGAAAACGTCTCGCGAAGACTCGTTCCGTTGGTTGGTCGAATCCCTAGTCCTTCCCCCTCCTGTCGACATCTGCATGTCTACTAGTTATCCAGCAGCCGTCGTAGTCCAACCCTCGAAGAGTTCGGTCCACGAAGAGGGAGGAAAGGTTGCCTAACTAGCTGACTGACTGACTGGCCGGCTGGTTAACAGCAGCGGCGGCGTCGGCGGCGGTAGCGGCTAAGAGCAAGAGCAGCGGCGCCTGGAGATTCTAGGAGATTCTGTGTGGGCGTCGTATACTTTGGAGGCCACACCTCTGTCGAGTCTTATGGTGCCGGCTATTGGCCGAGCTTGTGGCAAAAGTCATCATTATGGAGACTTAACTTTGGATGGATCGTTCAGCTAGTTCGCTCGGAAACATAAAACCGCTCCGAAAGAGCGTTCCAAAGTTTTCCTCGAGAATCATAGGATTTTCTGCATGGCGCAGCTCCCACGAATCTCCAATCTCGGAGAATTTTGATTCCGGCTGCTACGTTGACGATGCACTACTTGCCGAAGCGCGAACTTCATTGCGGGTCCCGTTCGGCGTGATCTGAAGCGAAAAACCCAGGATTGTCTCTAGTTCCCCAGAAGATGAAGGAGATGGTGACTTTCCGATCGTACTGATAGTTTCCCCTGATGGAAGCAGTCAATGTGTCAGAAGGAGGAACGGAAAGATCTGCCAGGTGGAATTTCCTTCTCGATCGAGCAGGGAGGCTGTTGGCTCGATAGCCGGTGGCTGTATTTTGACCGAATGTGAGCGAAAGTGTTCTTCGACTAACTATCACTGGTCAGAGCCATCGTCGTCGTCGTCGGTTGGCCTTCGTTTCGGCTGGTTCGTTTGGCAACACTTTCGTCAGTTACTTTCACTGCAGTAGTTTTGGCATTGACTCAACCGAATGCCGACCGGCAAGTCAGCCAGCGACGACTACCGACTGGCGCTGGAAAGCAAGATATGAAAGTGAAAAATCTCCATCTTTCCGGCGTACTCTTCATCTGCTACATAAGGTGGAAACTGAAGCGACGATCTCATTCCCGAGCATTTTACACCGTATGCAGTGACACAGAAACTCGACGAAGATCTTCCGTATCGCTGTCAGCTATCAACGTCTCTACGGCGATGCGGATGACGACGACGGCAACTGATTTGATAATTGATTCATGAGTTCGGAGCAATGGACCATGCCGAAGATCTTTAGCCGAACGGATGGAGATCCGCCGGGCTCTCGTTCTCTCATTCCATCTCATTTCGTCGGCGGAAGGAGTGGGACCGAAGAACGGACCGAGCGAGCGATATATAGACGGACAGACACACAGATAGACGAAAAGAAGACCGAAAACTGGAGAGGAAAACCTGAAGGCTTCAATTCGCAGGGAGGTTGAAGCGATGCTAGCCGTCAGTCGCCGACGGTCTGAACCGACTGAACTCAATGAGTCGCGACTGCTCTATGACTTCTTCGTGACTTCGAAGCAAGCTAGCCGGCAGGCTAGCTAGTGAGCGAACCCATACAAAACAACGATGCTCCGTCTCTTCCTCGCGCAAGAAATCGACATAGCGGAGTTTTGAGCTGGCTGCATTTTTTCCTCTTTTCCCCTGACGTCTTCATCAGAGTCTCTTCTCGCGCCGGTTGGATATCTCTCGCTCGTTCGCTAGGTTGCTTGGTTAGTCAGCAGCAACTGAAAAAGATTTTGTTGTCTGAAAATGGCTGCGCAACGACAGCGACAACGATGACTGCGGGAGCAGCACCGCCGACGACGTCAATGACGACTTTGGATGCTGTAGCGACGGCGGCCTCAAGTGTGTTTCCTTGCCGCAGTTTCCAGTTCATGCCCATATCGCTCGCCGGCGCCACGGTGGTAGATTGAAGTTCCTTGCCTACGCAGTGAGGACTCCAAGGCAGAGTAGTTCATGAAGAAGGGAAGAAAGCCATGACGCCGAAGAAAAGCGAATATTCGTTTTCAGCACCTCCATAATGCCGGCCGGCCGGACTCACAGCTGGTCGATCGGCCGTTTGGTCTTTCGGACTCACAGACTGAGTGAATGACTGAAAAAGCAGCTGACTGATTGACTGACTGACTGACTGACTGACCAACCAACCAACACACTCTAGACGGCAACGTTCGAGCGGCGCGGTGGCGTCGCGCAACGTTAACGTTGAGGCGGCGGTATCCACGACTAGACCATCGATGATGATTCTTTCATCATCATCCGCTATAGGTGTTTTCCGAGCGGACCCGCCGTGGTTCGGGTGAAATTTCTTGAGCATAAACGAAAATGGCGCCATATCGCGGCAGCATTCATATCTAAGTTCTGAATAAACTGATACAATGCTCTTCTTTTTCCTGCATCCTGGTCGACTTCGGCGATCCCCTCGGCAGCAACATGCGGCTGCAAGCAGATGTAGACTAAGAATCGAAACACTTCAGATGTGTGTGTCCAGCCAGGTGACCACAAGGAGGAGAGCTCGGAGTCGCTTCGGGATGCTCCGGAGACATTTCGGCGGACCTGCAAGCTTTGAAAAAAATGATTCTGAGACGCTCTGATCCGTGGAAGACTTTCACGCTGGCGATGAAGATCATGACAGAGAGAAGTGACAGAAAAAGCAGCGACTTCAGGCGATAAATGCCTCCAATTTAAACTCAATCATTGGAGATATTTCGCGCAACATTGACTCCGCAAGCTTCTAAGAATGGTCATAATCAGTTTTTACGCTTTCCCTCGCCGAAAGCCATCATCATCACCAACTCCCCCACATCGACCACGTTCCCGCGCGATCGTTCTGAGCCGTGTGTGGGGCCTTCGTTTACTGATTCCCGATCGGAACGAGGTTCCGAATAGCTCTCGGGACAGCCGAGAGTTTACTGATCCCGGAAATCGCTCGCTCAAATTTCCCGAATCCTTCACTACGCTTGTCCCCGGAAATTTTCTGCCAAAGACGGAGTCTGAGCAAACTCGTTCCAAACGGCGGTTTCCGTTTTTTAACGCAAAACGTTTTCTGGTCGGGAGAAGATGATGTCGGGCTGGCTAGTTTGATCCGTCCGACTATACACACGCTGGAAACGTCGGTCGAACAGACTTCGACGCTCTGGTCGGATCCGCAACTCCGAAAGAAGAAGACGCGGCGGCAGTAGCAGCAGCCGCAGAAGAAGAAGAAGAAGAGGACTCCTAGCATACCGGTACGTTTGGCTGATAAACCCTGCCCGCTCAAACGCGGGCAATGGATCACCAGTTTTGGCCTTTCGGTACGGGAGAGCATGACCGTTAGCGTTGGTCTGGTTGCTGGTCGCCGGCACCGCTTGACGATTGTGAGAGACCATCCGACTTCGCCACGGAGGGATCTCGAAGGATCCGAGAGGAGCGTGGAAGAGAAGAACAACAAGAAGTTGGAGCTTTGTGCATTTCTAACGATCTGTTATCAGAGCTGCGGTTCATCTGAGCAACAACACAACACAGACTGACATCGTCGTGAACAACATGATCTCTCCGCGAATTTATGACAACATTAAGCGCACAATGTCCGCTCTGCCGCGGGATTCGCCTCCTGCACTCATGCTGTAGGCTGTCCGATTGCTCGTCCGAATTGATCTCGTCATCGGTGTTCGTGTTCATGTTGTATGTGTTGTCTCGTTGTGGTGGCCGCTCCCTTTCTTCAATGCGACTAAACATCGGATTGAGATCCGGTGTGAATTCTATGTTTCTGACAGAGAGACCTCCAGTCCCTTCTTCAGCCTCGATCAGGCGGTCAGG